CCTTGAAACAAATTTTATCTCTTTTGAGACAGTTACTTTTGAAACACATCACCTTTGAGTATGTTTTTCTTGAAACAAATCTTTGAGTCTGTTTCTTTTGACACAAATCTTTGAGACGGTTTCCCTTGAAACCACAATCACTAAAGATGACCAACCGTCCTCATCACGTAGGAGCAGTGTCATCCCCTGACCAGATCTCTTTATCGTGTAGGAGTCGTGTTACCCCTAGATAATCAGACGTCCTCATCACGTAGGAACCGTGTTATCGCCCTTTCTAAAAATGACCAGAACTCTTCATCACGTATGAGCTTTGTCATCCCCTGACCAGATCTCTTCATCACGTAGGAGCCGTGTCACCCATAGATAATCAGCCGCCCTCATCGCGTAGGAACCGAGTTATCACCATTCCTAAAGATGGCCAGAACTCTTCATCACGTATGAGCCGTGTCATCCCCTGACCAGATTTTCTCATCATGTAGGAACCGTGTCACCCTTAGACGACCCAAACTCTCCATCGCGTATGAGCAGTGTCGTCCCCAACAATAAACCTTATCCAATTTCTAAGTTTGAAAGGGAGAGAACCATACAAAAACGTGATGTCTTTTCGTCTTTTCCCTATTCTTGTTAACATAAGAATGTGCAAAGAGGGGCAGTTGTAGACACCTATTTTTTCCGGGTCTTTTTTTATTAGTAATAATAATTATTATATTATTATTATTTCATTAATATTATTATATTATTATTAATATTACATTTATATTTTGTAGGCCACCAAAGCCTAGATTACAAGAGGCCCAATCCCGGAGCCCAACTAGCTAAACCCAATACCCAACAACACAAGCCCAGCAGCAACAAATAACACGATCCAGTTGCTAACCCGACCTCACTTAAAATTTAGGGTTTTAAAACCCTAAATTATCAAGCCACCTCTGAATTTCCAGCTATCAGCCGCCGTGTGACTCCTCAGCTTCCCAGACATCGAGCCACTCAAGTCGAGCCTCCCCTCCAACAGCCTCTATTGCCGCCGTTGTTCTCTTCTGCAATAACAGTGACCCACATCCATCATCAATAGTGGATAGAAATCACACCAAGTCATAAAATCAAAACAAATCTAATCATATCCCTGCTAACAAATAGGATAATGATATCCTATTTTCCGGGCAGTGGGATTCAATCAAGAGCCATCACCAATCACAAAGAGGAAGGGATTAAAAAATAAAGGCAACAAGACATAGAGGGGAGGGGGGTTTTTAAGGAGAAAATAGAGAGAAAATAAAGATTTGGGGGTTTTTAAGGAAAATATAGTGATAAAAAAATAGACAGACCTAAAAAGGGGTTCAAAACCTAAACCAAAAGGAAGAAGAAAGCTACGAAAAAAGAAGAAAATGAGAGAAGGGAGTCATACCTCGGTTGAACGTGTGGGAAGCCCGACGGTCGTCGTTCGTCAAAACCTTTAAAGGTAAAGCCTTATATCTAAGATTATGGGGTTGTTTCTAGGCTAAGGGAGTGGTAGATTAGAGGAGATGAGACTGAGAGGATCATTTTGGGTTCGGTTCCACTTCTCTGGCCGCCGTGCTTCGCCGTACGCCGTCATGGGAACCTCCGGTCACCATAGCTTTTCTCTCCTCAGTTGGGAGAGTTCCAAAGAACTCTCTCTCCCCTTATTTAGGTTGAGAGTAACCAAATGATAAGCATTGGCCATTTTGGCCTTTATAAATTATATATATATACGTAGCCGAGCGACGTCGTTCTGGATGGGAAGGGGCTACGTGTTTTCGCGTCAGGGGCAAATAGCAAGTTTAGTCCCCCAGTCTTTGTAATCATTTTGTTTAGTCATTGAATGAAAGTTTTAATATTCTGATTTGGGCACTTGTTTCTTTCCATTTTTATTTAAGTCACCATGTTATGTATTATGCCTTTATTTCAATTATTTGACTTTGGTCCCCATGATTATGAATGTTTTAATTTAGTCCTTATTGGCCTTCAAGCACGTATATGTATATATTTTGTTATTATCCAAATTTGGTCACCATACTTTATATTGTTTCATTTAAGTCACTAATCTCATGTTTTGTGTATTTTCTTTGATGTTGAAGTTTGGCCATAGGATTCGTGAAAGTTTTATTTTGGCCACTGATTGTAATTTATTTGTTTTAGACTTTACTCCTTTCATTTATAAATATTTTATTTTAGTCATTGTTTGATGTTTGGTTTAATTACTTTGTGGTCTTTGTTATTTCTGTTTATTTTATTTTAGTCTTTACTGTTATTTTTGGGTTATTTTCATTTTTGCACTTGTATTATTTGACATTTGCAATTTGGGCTTAGGTTTATTTGTAATTAATTTATAGTCCTTTAAGTTTCCGATTTTTCTATTTTAGACCCTTTAGTTTATGTTTTTTTATCATTTAATCCCTCATATTATTCATGGTTTATTTATGATTTTAGTACCTTCATTGTTTAATGTGTTGATTATAACCTTGATCACTGTCAATATTATTGTTTAATCACTCAAGTTAGTATTAATATTATTTTGATCCTTTTAATAAGCAAATATGTTTAGTTTCTTTTGTTGATACTATAGTCTCCATTGATTCCATGATTTTATTTTGGTCCTTTATAGCATACTATATTGTATAGACATATTCCATTGTACCACGTTTAACAAGTATTTTATATTAATTACGTATCAAATATGTATATATATATATATAAGTCAAATAATATGTCAATTACATTTGCGCCTTATTATTTGTGTATATATTATTATATAGATGTATTATTATTATATATTTATATTTCTTCTCATTTCATATTATTTTTATTGTTTATTTTATTCTTTATATTACTATCTGAATATTCCAAGAACTCGTATTTGTAGAACGGGCGTAGAAAGTATCATTTGATCGAAGTGGTACAATCTAATACGACGTTCAAACTAAATGAAACTTGAAATAAATCAACTTTAAGTTTGTTAATTGTTAATTCATTTTTATTTTACACTGAACAGTGAAAGTTATGTATTTTATTTTATTTTTTCGCAACTGTCAAATTGCAATTTATATTTGATATGCATCTTTTACATATTTGACGATAGAATATTCTTTAACAATGAAAAATAGTTAAAATTGCTTTCCCGACGGAGGATTGCTAATTTCAAGGTTTTTTTATTGAATTAAAGAATTCTCTTTAAATAGTAAATTCGAAGCAAATTAATGTTCGATAAATGGATCGTAATTTAACTTTATATTCGATTTATAATTTTCACTATGTACGACAACGTATAAGCGACACAGTACCAGTTTTGGGCGTTGTGGGGTGTTAATCCTTCCCACGCGTAATCGACTCCCGAACCCGTTTTAAAGTAATCTTTGTAAACGCAGACCATTTTTGTCTTAAAAATGATTTTTCTTAAGATTGTTTTTAAAAAAACGTTTTTGGGTATTTGACCTACCTAACCCAAAGGTCGATGGCGACTCCCTTTCAATTTAAATCAAATTAATTCCAAATCACCAATTTTTCCAAATTAAAGTCATAATCGTTTTTTAAAATAATATTTTATTGTTTTATAAAAAAATGGTTATGACAACAACACTACAACACTAGCTGTGGCTAGTTTACAAACACAACCTCAATATTCTAAGCTTTGCTAAGCTTCACCTTTTCTCTCATAGCTTTGCTAAGCTATCTCTCATTTTTGCTTTTCTTAGCCTTTATTTTTCTCAGTTGTGTTGCATATTAAACTAAACTAGAACACCCGTATATATAGATGTAATAAACCGTCTTGAACTACTCTGGATGCTTCTTAACTTCTCTCTGCCATTCTTCTTTCTTGCCGTGATGGAATTTTGCTTGCCAATTATTACTTAATTAATAAGTATTATACGTGTTGCATCCATTATTGATTTTCTTAATTGAACATTTAATATGCTTAATAGTTAAGCATAAACAATGTCAAGTTGCTTCCATTTCCTTTTCTTTATAGCCACCATGTTTGACCGTAGAAAAGTAAGTTTGATTTCTAACACTCCCCCTCAAACTTGATTTTCCATTCCAAGCTTTTCTTCTCCACTTGTCTTCTCCAATTGTTTCTTCATTTCTTGGCAAGTGCACGCTGCTGCGGCTATGTATTATTCTTTGTTTTTTTGACACCTTGTAGAGATTTTTGCAAAATCTCCCACGCTTGTTTTGCGGTTTTCGCATCAGAAATTTTTTCAAAGGTAGATTCATCTACTCCTTGAAAAATAAAGAACAATGTTTTTTTTATCTCTTTTCCGAGATTATTTCAATACCTTCTTTTCTTCATTGGCCAGGGTTGCTTCTGCTGTTGCATTTTCAGGCTCGGTGTAACCATCCTCGATGATATCCCAACAATCTTGGGAGCCTAGTAACGTCTTCATTTGAATACTCCAATTGCCATTATTCGCCTTTGTCAATCTCGGAATTTGAGGTTGAATCACGTTGGCCATCTTCTCCACCACGTTGAACTTGAACCAAGCTTTGATGCCACTTGTTGGAAACGTAGATGAGCTCTCGATAATTTATAATTCGAACTATTATTGATACGAGGTAAAAATACGTTACAACGACGTTACCCCAATATTACAATAATACAACACTACAATACTAGTTGTGGCTAGTTTACAAACACAACCTTAATATTCTAAGCTTTGCTAAGCTTCACCTTTTCTCTCATAACTTTGCTAAGTTATCTCTCATTTTTTCTTTTCTTAGTCTTTATTTTTCTCACATGTGTTGCATATTAAACTAAACTAGAACACCCGTATATATAGATGTAATAAACTGTCTTAAACTACTTTGAATGCTTCTCAACTTCTCTCTGTCGCCATTCTTCTTTCTTGCCGTGATAGAATTTTACTTGCCAATTATTACTTAATTAATAAGTATTATACGTGTTGCATCCATTATTGATTTTCTTAATTGAAAAGCAAGTTGCTCTATTTGGCACATTTAATATGCTTAATAGTTAAGCATAAACAATGTCAACTTGCTTCCATTTCCTTTTCTTTATAGCCACCATGTTTGACCGTGGAAAAGTAAGTTTGATTTCTAACATTTGTCTCAGGAAAAACCTCACTGCAAGTGGACCAAGGCCTAACCCACAGGGCTCATATCACTATGGTCTCATTAACACAACAAGAACCATCATTCTTGCGAATTCTGCCGGCCAAGTTAACGGCAAGCAAAGATACGCGGTTAACTCTGTTTCATTTGTTCCAGCTGACACTCCGCTGAAACTTGCCGACTATTTCCAAATTGGAGGAGTTTATCGCATTGGAAGCATATCGGATAAGCCTAGTGGTGGAAAGATATACCTTCATACTTCAGTAATGCAGGCCGACTACAGGGCTTTCATCGAGATAGTGTTTCAGAATAATGAGAACATTGTACAGAGTTGGCATCTCGACGGCTACAATTTCTTTGTTGTCGGGTAAGCACGATCATTTCACCTCAATAATCCGAAAGACGCATGCTTTAAATTGTGCCGATATCATTGGTTTCTGAATTGTTGCAGTATGGATGGAGGGCAATGGACAGCAGCTAGTAGGAGGGGATACAATCTCCGCGACTCTGTTTCACAATGTACGACTCAGGTAAAATCCGACAAGCTCATCTTAAAACTCCGGAGGAGAAGATGGTGACATTGGATTTGTGGTGAATGCAGGTTTGTCCCAAGTCATGGACTGCTGTTTATGTGGCACTTGACAACGTGGGAATGTGGAACTTAAGGTCGGAGTTTTGGGCAAGACAGTATCTGGGACAACAGTTCTATTTACGCGTATACACTACATCAACTTCGTTAAGGGATGAATACCTGATCCCAAAGAATGCCCTGCTCTGCGGAAGGGCGAGGTGCCTAAGCGGAGGATAGAATAAAATATCCAGATTTGGGTAGAGAGAGCTCTCCAGGTTACACGATTGAGTAGCGTAGCTTTAGGCTTTAAAATCTTTAATTATCAATTGGTGAACTTTGTATGATTGTAACTTTAAATGAATAGACCTCACCTCGAGGTCGTATTTTTCCCCTTTTCAGCCATTAATTCGTACTATGTATTTTATTATGCCACCATTTTTGTAGGTATGTTAAAGCACGTGCATCAATGGCCATTCTTTTTCCTGGAACCCACAGGCCCCAAGACCTTCATCGAGCGAGGATATATCGCACCAGTATAGTTTATCGACAGGGTCACAACTTAGGAGGAGATACTGCATAACAAAATTTAAAAGGAAAAAACGATAAAAAAATTGCTCTCAGATTTGATCTCCAGGCTCTATACCAATTAACATGGTGAATTAGTTGAATTCCTTTTACACAGAATAATACCCACCCTTTCGAGTAAATTTCTTGGATTACAAACCCGGACGTAAAGGACATTTTGGGCCTATGTTGTACGAGCACGGTAATTCAATGTAGTTTAAAGTATTTAATACGTTTTTGAGATGGGTATAGGACGGGTATAATTAGGGTATGTGCTAAGGACATTTCGTGTTAAAAGGGTACGATTAGAATAAACTGGGTACATCAAAGAGATTTCTGGAAACATACTGGGGACAACGTTTGAATTTCAGATGCGTATCCAAAATTATTTTTTGATGGGATTCAAGTATGTTTAGGTTGAGATGTCTTCTTACATATGAAGCGTCTTACACTTACCTTTCTAACGTATTTTGTAATGTTTAAATCGGACGACGAAAACTCAATATATGTTTATTTTAACAAAGATAACTATGTAAGCATAAGACTGAATATATATCCAGCACATGATTTATAGTAATTACAAATTTTAAAATTTACTTATGCTTATCATACCCTTAGCAAATCATATAATTTTAAAAAGGGTAAATTACGTGTTTAGTATCTAAACTATTAATTTAATTCATTTTAGTATCTAAATTTTTAATTTTTTCGAAACCATATCTAAAGTTTAGTTTTCGTTTCATATTAGTACTTTGAATTTTGTTTTTGGAAGTTTAGGTACTAAACTAGATCAAAACTGATGGTTTAGGCACTAAAACAAGCCAAAAATAATAGTTTAGACACTTAACCGTTAAGTTTTTAATGACAGTATACTGAAACAAAACAAAAATGAAACGTTAAGTATGATTTTAAAAAATTAAAAATTTAGATTTTAAACAAATCAAAATTAATAGTTTAACACGGTTTTTAAAAATTATCATTTCATATTCCCTTATCGGTCCAACATAGTTTTGGGCTTGAAGACCAGTGTTAGGGTTATAGAAGTAGTTTGCCCTCGCTTGAAAGGGACCAGTGTAAAGGAAACACTTTACTAGGTTCAAAGGCTGGCTAAACAACACTTTTTGCAGTTTTCATCGAATCTTTCGAGCGCTTCCATTTCTGCTCCAATGTGTCGTCATTCTGTGATCTATAATCCCATATTATATTTTAGATTTGATTCCCAGTTCGTCGAAGAATCGCGTAAGGTCCTATCTATAAGTGGAGATTCGTAGTACTTGTTCAAGATAGGGTTGTAAAATCGGGTAATCGTTCAGGTTTCAGTCGGATCCTGGCATGTCGGGTAAAATCGGATACAAGTCAAGTCAGGTAAATTTGACACTAGATCCAGATCGGGTTCAGGTCATGTCAAATCAGTTCGGGTTATTTTCATGTTAATTTGACACCAGATCCAGATCGGGTTCAGGCCAGGTCATTTTCAATTCGGATCGTTGCCAGTTCAGGTCAAAACAACTCAGGTCTGAAGCAGTTAAAAAACAGGTTAATTTAGGTTCGGATGGACTTCAGGCGGATCTCGTTCAGATCAGGTCACATCATTGGCAAATAAAATTCAGGTCGGATCTCTATCAGATACAGGTTGAGTTCAAATCGAGTTAATTTTTATTTTTGGATTAATTATTTTCGTCTTTCACGAACGTCAAATTGCAATTTGTAATTATATATGATTTAGAGTAAATTACTAAGAATATAAATAATCATGGTTCAATTTTATGAAAAATAAAAATTTAAGAATTAAATTGAACAAATATGAAATTACAAATAAAAATTTAAATAAATTAAACAACACACATTGATGAGGGATCAAATCAAAATAATTTTAAATTGTGAGGTTGAAATTAATACAAATAAATACTAAATTATACCCATTTAAAAAGTTATGTCCAATTAAAAAATAGAATTAAGTAATAAGTATGGATCAATTTCATATGCTGATAAAATTTGGAGGACTAAATAGAACAAATATGAAATTAAAAATATAAATATAAATAAATTAAACAACACACATTGATGAGGGATCAAATCGAAATAATTTTAAATTGTGATGTTGAAATTAATACAAAAAAGTACTAAATTATACCCATTTAAAAAGTTATGGGCCAATTTAAAATAGAAATAACTAATAAGTATGGGTCAATTTCGGATGCAAATAAAATTTGAAGGACTAAATTGAACAAATATGAAATTACAAATAAAAATTTAAATATATTAAACAACACAAAGGGATCAAATCGAAATAATTTTAAATTTTGAGGTTAAATTAATACAAAAAGTACTAAATTATACCCATTTAAAAGTTATGGGCCAATTTAAAATAGAAATAAGTATGGGTCCATTTTAGGTGCAAATAAAATTTGGAGGACTAAATTGAACAAATATAAAATTACAAATAAAAATTTAAATATATTAAACAACTATATATATATATATATATATATATATATATATATATATATATAATATAAACTATATAGTTTATATATAATGTATATGTATTATATATATAAACTATATAGTTTATATATATTATGTATAAAGTATAAACTATATATACCATGTATAAACTATAATACTATATAGTTTATATATAAACTATTGAACTATATATAAACTACATAGTTTATATATAAATTATATATGAATTATATAAACTATACAATTTATATTTATATACTATGTAATTATAAAAAATATATATTGTATAAATTATACAGTTTATTAATATAATTTATATAATTTATATATATAGTATATATGGTTTAGGGTTTAAAGTTTAGAATTTAAGGTTTATATTTATATTTATATATAATTTATATTTATATTTATATACTATATTTTATACTATTTATATAAACTATAGTTTATATTTATATACTATATATATGAACTATAGTTTACATATGAACTATATATATAAATATATATATATACTAAGGTTGATATTTATATATGAACTATAGTTTACATATAAACTATAGTTAATATTTACATATGAACTATAGTTTACATATGAACTATATATATAAACTATATAGTTTACATATGACCTATATATATATATACTATAGTTGATATTTATATACTATATAGTTTACATATGACCTATAAATATATACTATAGTTTATATTTATATACTATATATTATATATATAAACTATATATACTATATAGTATAATTTACATATGAACTATATATAAAAATCCTAAACCCTAAACCCTAAAGTATATATTATATAGTTTATTTGTATATATAAACTATATAATATATATAGACTATATGGTATATTTAAATTATACATTATATATAGTTCATTAGTATATATAAACTATATATTATATAGTTCATTAGTATATATAAACTATATAGTACATATAAACTATATATTATATAGTTCATTAGTATATATAAACTATATATTAATTTATTAATCTAAACATATATTAATTGAAAGAATTGAAAAATATATAAGGATCAAATTGAAAAATTTTTAAATATGAAGCTTAAATTAATAAATTATAACATCAAAATTTGGATTAAATTGAAAGAAGTTAAAATATGAAGCTTAAATTAATATATTATATCATTAAATTTGGACTAAATTGAATACTTTTAAAAGTAATAGACAACATTATAATATCAAATGAAGTTAAAAAACAAGCGGTTTTCTCCCTCACTTAACCCACAAGGGCACCAAAATCAGCATCATTTCCCGCGTGATGATTTTAACATAACCATGGCTTCCGATACGTCTGCTTCTAACATAAAAACCATGGCCATCATCTTTAGCCATTTCCTTCAATAATCTAATTTTTCTTCCCTTTTTTGCACTCCAAAACTGGTACTTCATCTCTCTTTCTCTTTCCCTTTGATTGATTTCTATGTTTGTTTAGATCTTTTGGCTTCTTTTAGCTATAGAAAAGGTGCTGACTTTGTTTACTTTACATAACTTATTTGGTTGATTGCGAATCAGTGAAAAGTTTGTTCTTTTTTATTTTGATGTTCTGATCTGATATGGGTTTCTTTTGATGCTTAGATTTCTGGGTTTTGCATGAAAATTTCTGACTTTGTTTAATCGCTGGTTTTGCTCAAAATAGTTGTGGAATGAGGCGTTGGATCTTTTTCGGAAGATGTTGGAGGAAGGAGTGCAGCCTAATGCTTACACATTTGTTGCTGTTTTAAGTGCTTGTGCAGATTTAGCACTTATTGAGAGAGGTAAACAGATCCATACGCACATAGTGTCGATGTCATGTTGATCAAATAGTTGGGAGGTTTATTTTTGAATCTTTTGAGGAACTTTTGATTTCTTGTCTCCAATGCATATATTATGGGCAGAAGGTCTAACATTGAACGTGTGATTGTGTTGCTCGCACAGGGATTCTGCAGATGTGGAGGAAGAGCAAAAGATGCTCGAAGAGGTTGGTTTGGTGCAATTTTTTTGGTGTGGTTTTTTTAGATCTTATATTTGTGTCTATTGATTTTGCTGAATGTTGTTTCAGGCAATTAAAAATGCTCGAGAGAGGGATAGAAGAACATTGTTACGAGCCGTAAGTGTCCAATTACGACTCCACATTTATTTAAGTATGAGTTTCTTGATTTAGGTTGAATTTTTCTGACTTTTAAATCATGATTATTGATAAGTTCTAGTGAATCAAGCTCTGTGTTGCTTACACCTCTATGCTAATTTCTTGACATGACTCGTGAAAGAAAGAGTTAATTAAATGCTTAGAAGTTATAGAAGTCTTTCTTGAATTGGATTTACATTGATTGAGATGATATGGTTCCTTTTGGAAAGACCCAATGGTGTGCTGGTATTTGAACCTTAGATCCACAACTGCTACTGGCTGTTACCTACTTCATAAAAAAGATAAATCCTTGTTAGATAAACAATTCAGTCTGTCAGCTTGATAAGGCATGCGACTTTCTTCTTATGCCTCTCATGATTCAGTCCAGTGTTTTGTTCAAGGAAAAAGGTAACATGCAAAATTTGCCTTCAGTATACCTCTGCATCGGCAAGTTTAGAACTTGAGATCCAAAAATTTAAACATATGTTCTGTTCTTTTTAAGTTAATTGTTTCTTAGCTGAGCAGGATATATGTATTTGAAGTTATTCTTGATATATCAACGTTGTCAATGAACTTGGTATCTGATAGCTACTAATATGTATACCGTACACTTTGGCAAAGTAAATTACCTAAGTACGATCTTTTATTATTCCCTGGTAATTTATTCTGCCAAATGCCTTAATGCTGATCCACCTTTGCTTGTAACAGATGAATAAAAGTAGTTCCAAAAGTTCATCGAAAACCACGGCCAACAAAGAAAATGGTAGGGTGGGTGAAATTTTTCCTTCTACATCACTTGAGGAATACGCCAAGCTAGGTAGAAAAGATGGTGGAAATCATGATGGTCAATATGACTCCAAGAATGATTGCATTGCTGACCACGATGATGATGATGAAAATGAAGATGGTGAGGATGATGCTGACAATGAAGAACCGAATGCGTAACTGAGAAGCCTGTGAATAACTGGTGAGAAAGAATCTGTGCATACATCAGAATCTTTAACATTATTTATTGACCTTTGCTCCAAGCCGTTTTCTACTCAGCTATCACTATACTAGCAGGATCTGTGATGCCCGTCCGGCTTCAACAAGTTCTTACAATTTTGTCATAAGATTAAAATTCCTAGAATGTAGTTGACTGTGATGATATTACTTGCATTTTCTCTTCTTTATCCATTAGAACTTCCTAGCTGAAGATGATACTTGGTAATTCTTGTGGCATGGATCCACTTCAGTCATTTATCTTTTACTTTTTATTTGTTTCCTATTCCAAGTAACGTTTTTAACTATGCAATTATTGCTTTACTTATTAATTTACTTCAGTCCTGTAATGTGTATGTGTGCTTGCAAGCATCCTAACAGTTACAATCATACTTCATAAGCTTCAATTTTTTTCTATTCCCAGCTAATGTTTAGAACCATCACTTCCATGAAGATTTTTTTTTTATAAAAAAAAACACCAAACAAAATTGAATCAAATCCAAAGTTGAGTGACCAACTTTTGAACCTATTTATAATTGAGTGATAAGAATGTAAAATTTTAGTTAATGCTATAACGATGAAATGATTTTTTTGGTTACAAATCAATAAATAGAGTGATTGGTATAATTTTTTAAAATATAGTAATCTAATATATTTTTAAAATTTTTATTTTAAAATTTTAAGTTAAGTTATACTTAAATTATTAATTAATTTTCACATTAAAAGTTAATTAGATTTATGAATATTTTAACTTAATTTATATAATTTAATAAAAATCATGTTCAATAAAACAATATTTAAATTTAATTTAGTGATTATAAATAAAATTTATAATATAAGAATTATAAATAATATATAGAATTAGAATTAATATAAAAATCAAATTTATAATATACAAATTATAATTAATATAAAAACTAAATTTCAAAAAGTAATCATATTAATTTAATTATCATAAGTTTATTATACATTTAAAATAACATAATTATATTAATTGTAACTTATTACTTATAAGTCAGGACAATATCAGATCACTTTAACATGTCGGGTCATTTACAGATTGAGTTAACTACAGGTCATGTTCATAACAGGTCAGGTTGAAAACAGGTCGAGTAATATCAGTTATTTACTAGGTCAATCTCGGGTTCGGGTTCATATCAGTCGGATGCAGTTCGGGTTCGGGTATCATATTTTCGGTTCAATTCGGATTCAGGTCAGGTGCAAGTCGGGTTCAGATCCACAATTTCCAGGTCCAACTCGGGTTCAGGTCAACACCAGTTTCGACTCGAGTCGGTTTCGGATCGCCACAGCACAAGTCAAAATCAGTTTTAACTCGAGTCGGTTTTAGTCAGTTTTACAGGTCGGGTCAGCTTTTTACACCCCCTAGTTCAATAGAATATATAAGTTGGTTACTCTTCTTTTCCTCGGGGAAAAGCGATAGTATCTTTGATCAAAGAATATCATATAAAATGTGTCTGCGTATAAGCACAGCTATCTCGGAGATTTTCAGGGACTTGAACGGCTCAACAAAAATTTAAAAAATAAAGCTCACATGATGAAAGTATAATTAATTTAAATAATTAATTTAATATTTTATTAATAAACCATAAAAATAATCAAACTTTATGAAATATATTATTTTCATTACATTATTAAGAAAATACAACTAAAATAATAAGGGACATTCATTAACTTACAAGTTTGTCACTTGAAAAAATCTCATCCTCAGTGCATTCTTTGAAACAAATTCATTAATCAAATCTTCATAAGCAACTTTATCTAAAATCTCATTCTCGATTGCCACCAGAGCTAGTCTATTAAGACTTTCTTGTGACATAGAACTACTCAAGTAAGATTTGAGCAATTTTAACTTTGAAAAACTTCTTTCGGCTGTTGCAACTGTCCCAAGAATAGTTAACAATATTCTATACGCAATAATTGCATTAGGAAAACAATCAAACACATTTCAAAAACTTTAAAAATATCAAAAGCCCCCAATTTTTATTTGGGCAAAAATTCTTGAAGTAATTTCAACTCCAAATATAAGTCATAACCATGAATATCACATTTATCACAATTCTTAAGCGCATATTCCAAACAACAACAAGAAGATTTTAAACTCGGATCATCAACAACAACAAGATTTTAAACTCGGATCATCTAGTGAATGCAATTTGTCAGAAGCAAATAAAAAACCAAACAAATTTCCATATTGTTCATATTGTTCAAATCTCCTATCAAGTGAAACAATTGCTTGATCAATGATGTAAATAAAATGATTAATTCTAAAAGGCTCTTCCGCACATTGTGGACTTTCATCATTTAAATTTTCATCAAACTGTCCTTTTCTTTTGATTTGACGCCTTTAAGGAAAAAATGGATCAATTTCCATATCAATTACAAGTTCCTTAACAACTTCAAGAGCATTAGAAAAATCATTCTCTTTATACTCCTTAAAAAATAAAATTAATTTTTTTCACATTTTCAATGACAACAGAAACAAGCATATCTTTTGATTGCAATTTTTTACTAACTGAATTGACAGCATATAAAAATCATACCAAATGACCATAGTCACTATAAATTCAAAATCACCAAGTTCATTATTGGTTAAAGATGTAGCTTCGCTTCTTATTTTAGAATCATTATCATTATTAGAAACTTCAAGCAACGCTTCTCTTATATCTGAAATCTTATTGCCTTTACACTATCAACATGACTCTCCCAACGAGTAGAAGATAATAATTTAGGAGTTAAATCTTTCACATTTTTTTTAAATTTGTCACTTTTTTATAGAATTTGCAAATATATTATAAATACGTTGTATAACACCAAAAAAAATCTAGCTTTTCCAGAACTGTTGGCCATATCACATAACATTAAATTAAGACTATGGGCACCACAAGGAGTGTAAAAGGCTCTAGGATTCAAATCTAAAAGTTTTTTTTGTACTTCTTGTTTTTTCCCTTTCATATTTAACACATTATCATAACTTTGATCACATACATCATCTAAATCAAGTTCAAGAACATTCAATTCATGTAGAAAAACATTAAAAAGACCTTGTACAGTTGTGTCATTCACATTCAAAAATCCTAAAAGAGATTCTTCTAAGCTAACACAATCAGAAGAAACATTCACATGCCTTAAAATTAAAGACATTTGCTCTTGGTGACTAATATTAGGAGTACAATCAAGTATCACAAAAAAATATTTAGCCTTTTTTATTGTCTTAACAATTTCATATTTAATTGCACAAGCAATCAAAAGAATAAACTCATTTTGGATGTTATGATCAAGGTAATGAACACAAATCTCATCATTAGTAATACGACAAACATGTTCTTGAATAATAAGATCAAACTCAGTTAACATTTCAATTAATCCCAAAAAAATTTACATTGTTATTTTGATACAAATTCTCATTAGTACCACAAAATGCTAGATTATGTTTTACAAGAAATGTTACAATTGAAATAATTCATTAAGACATTTTTCCAATGTTCTTTCTCCTTTTTAAGTTTTTTTGAGCTACTTTATCAATAGTTATGTTCTTTTTAAGTCTTAAATGTAAATCATACCAAGTGGTCATATTTTGAACATGTTCTTTACTAGTTTCATGTTCTCTAGTTCTGATACAAAGATGTGTCCAAACACTATATCCGTCATTTACTAATTGACATTTACCACAACCTTTCTTGAATAGTTTACAAAAAAAAAAAACAAAAAACTCTATCAAGTTCTTTTGAATATACAAGTCAATCTCTATCACATATTTCTCCATTTGATGTATTTTAGTGTAGAATGAGGTAGAAAATTGTCTTTCAATTTTATCTTGAACACCTTTCACAATGGATAAATCTCTTTTAGGACATTTTATCGTTAAAATCTCAATCATTTGAGAATCTAAAGCATCCCAATTTCTTGGATCAAATATGTTAAACTTATGATACAAAATATCATAAAAAATATTAACATTATTAAGCTTATCAATATCAATATTATCAACATTAACATGCTCAACATTAGAAAGTTCAAAATCATTATCAAAGACATTTTCCTCATTTACATGATCCTCATCACCATGTTCATAATTATTATTTAAATTCACATTATTATTAATGTTAACATTATTATCATCGACATTACAAATATTAGAATCATCAATATTAACAACATTTTCATTTTCGGACACTTGTGACTCATTAATAAAAAATGAGAAAATCGCCTCAGTGACCAAAAAAAAGTTATAATATACGATTTTAACCAACTTTTTTTGGATTTGCCAAAATGACCAACAAATTCGCAACGCGAAATAAAAATCGCAACGCGATCCCCAGAATCGCAAATCAGTTTCCAAAATCGCAACGCGATTCTTGAAAATCGCGATGCGATAGTACAAATTCGCATTGCGATTTTCCATAATCGTAACGCGAATATGAAAATCGCAACGCGAACACATAAATCGCAACGCGTATCCGTAAATCGCAACGTGTATCCGTAAATCGCAACGCGTATGGGTAAATCGCAATGCGTATCCGTATATCGCAACGCGTATCCGTAAATCGCAACGCGTATCCGTAAACCGCAACGTGTATCCGTAAATCGCAACGCGTATCCGTAAATCGCAATGCGTATCCGTAAATCGCAACGCGTATCCGTAAATCGCAACGATAATCCGTAAATCGCAACGCGTATCCGTAAATCGCAACGATAATCCGTAAATCGCAACGAGAATCTGTAAATCGCAACGATAATCCGTAAATCGCAACGAGAATCTGTAAATCACAACACTGAAATTTTGGGTATATAACACTGAAATCATAAACTAAATCCCTAAATCGCAACTCATTCCATCTCCATCTATCACTCTCTCCGGCGACATCCGTTCCTATATCCAACGACATCCTTCCCAATCCGGCAACAGGTTTTAGTTTCGCAGCTCGTCTGTTTAGTAAATTAATTTACAACCATGAAATCATCTAATGTTGATCATGTTTGGATAGATTTGTGTTTTGGAGGGTCATGGGATAATGTTCATGGTGTTTTACAATATATGCCTTTACCCATGAATCTTCAACTAAAATTGTCTTTACAAAAGTTAACTTATGAAACTCTAATGCTACGTG